TATATATATATATATATAAATTAAAGGTTGAGATATTATAGCAATTAAAATGGACGTATTAGATGATATGACAAGTGTCAAAATTTTTAAGGAGGATGAGGTGACATTCTCTAGCGAGTCCTCTACTTTTTGGTTTTGCTTTAATGGATACTCTAGAAAAAAACAGAGAAAACACTTCTTAAGGTAAATCAAAATTTTCTGGCGGATTTTCTTAAGGTAAATCATGATTTACATTCTAATATATGTAACTTTCAGTGAGTTAACTCTCAATATTCCTTACTTAAGGTAAATCGTAACTGCCGGTTAAATATAATGATTATCTCATCTAAGTTCAGTGTATAACTAGCGTCTAGTATTCTTTAAAGCATATAAAGTATCGGAACTGGTGTTTGTTGCCATAAGGACAACGAAACCTTAATGAAAGACTAGAAGTCAAAAGTCGTAGGGAGAATCTGAATTCAATATAGTAATTAAATAACTTAAACAGTGGGCGGAGTATACGTGCACCATCTATCCGATGCAAGTGCGCACAAATGTCCCTACTTCCCCACGTGCTTGTCGAAGTGCTGTATAATTTTACTTTTCTTATTTAGTTGTTTCATTATAAATGTAACATGTGATGCGGAGAGGACAATGGCAAGATATATAGCCAAAAATGAAGTTCCACGGAGCTCCTCTCCTCTTCACCCCTGTTCTTCTCTTGTTCATAACAGCACTATTTTCCTGTTCTTTTGCGCTCGAGTTCAACCGAGGTAGTTTCCCGGCGGGATTTATCTTTGGAGCAGCGTCCTCAGCCTACCAGGTATCTAGAAGGATTCTAGAAACTAGTCAGCTAAGTTTTGAAAATATTATTATGTGTTTGCAGTATGAAGGGGCAGCAAGAGAAGGCGGAAGAGGGCCAAGCATTTGGGACACATTTACTCACAAACACCCAGGTACTAATTTTCTCTCTTTTTTCTCGATCGTGTTTTTTTTAGAATTTTCTTGCGGATAAGTTCACAAAAACTACCATGAAACTACTGTCACTACTCCTATTGGAGAAAAATCACGCAAGATTTCATTTACCAGCTTTTAAAAATTTATGAGAAAAATACGTGCTAGCTAGTTTTAAGATAATACCTAAGAGTCCATGTTACCTATTTGACAATAAATTGAAGTTCATGATATATGGCTTATATGCATAATTTATTGATAGTATGTGATATTTTCTGCTAATCTGAAAATGCATTATGTTCTTTATATATAACTTGATCATAGGCACGTGCGAAAAAAAATTAGCATAATTAAGTCAATATTGATAATGACATTCTTTTGTGTGTAGCTTAAAGGAAATTGTTTCTTAAAATTTTATATGTTTGTTCATGGAAATTAACTCAATGAAAAAACACGCGCGTGTTTTTGAGATGAATAGTTCAGAGGTTTGAATTCGTGACTATCAATAATTCACCTCGAATTATTTACTATTTGAACCATATTTCATGGCTATAATCCTTTTTAAAATTTTGTTTTGATTCATTATCTTTATTTTTACCTTGATTTGATTAGTTAAACTTTATTGTTTGGGTCAAAAATCGCTATTTTCATTGTGATTGAATCTATTACAACTTTAATCGTTTACAATAAACTCAAATAAAAAGTTGATCCTTTTATAAGATCTCCTTATACAATGAAAATACAAAAGATACGACTCTTGTCAAACAGCGCAACAGACGTTTATCACCCGCTGCTTGTGTTAGATCTTTGCCTATACCGGGGACGTTAATATATGTGGACCGTCACGGATCAGATCCGGTTAACAGATTGATGATCAAAGCTCTTACTTCACGAAGGAAGTAATTGCTGCAGCGATGATCTCGACCAAGCGAGATCACGGCTCTTATCGAGATTTAAGACTAAGCCTAAATCCAGAGGAAAAAGGGATGGGTCTCGAATCTCTCGAACTCTACTCTTTATGCACAGGAGATCGGTAAGATCTGCTAACCCTTGCTGTAAATTCGTCGCTCCACTCTCCAATTCGGCAGCGTTTCGCCCTCTTGATGTCCAGCCCCTGAGAAATGAGCACCCGAGCTCGTATTTATAAGCTTCGGAAATGGGTATTTGGATAAGAACGAGGGATTCCTCTTTATCTTCAGTTAAGAACTGATTAACCATAGTATCAGATCAGTTGGGACGCTCAGGAACCAACAAATCCTGAGAGAATCCGTGAAAACCGATAAAACATACTTTTAGATCAAATCTGACCGAAGCGTCACCCGGTGGCTCGGCCTTGGCCTAGCCACCAAATGATGGCTCGGCCTTGGCCTAGCCACCAAATGGTGGCTTGGCCTTG